TATCGTTCGGGTGCTCTGGGATTCCAGGCTCAGCCGTTTTTGTGATAGTACTTTTTGGTACTGTTTGACACCTCTATGTGTTTCTTGCTTAGTGTTGCAACGCTTTGAAGGAGGTACTTCCGACCATATAAAGTATATATATTCTTGATCAGCATCAACAGCCGAGTCGATATAGCCATGTCCGTCTGTCCGTTTTTACGCAAACTAGTCTCTCAGTTTTGAAGCTATCTGAATGAAACTTTGTAGTTAGCCTTCTATATACTCTCACTCGTATATATGTATGTATGTATGTCGGAAGAGGCCGCATCGAACGATATACTATCATATAGCTGCCCAAGAAACGATCGAAAAATTTTTACAAAAATAAATCTAACATTTGGAGTTTTCAACAGAATTGTATCAGATTTAAGATATAGCCATTTTATATTATTCTAAAATTTTGTGTAAAATTGTAAGAACATCGGTCTTTTTCAGTTTTCAACAAATTTTTCTAGAATTTTGATTGGGCGAGTATGGCTGCCATACAAACGATCGATAGATATAAAGGAAAATGCAAAACTGAATGTAAACTGTAAATATAATATGTATAGGTGAATGAAATGAAAGGAGGTACTACATCATTGTTTTTTTAAATAAATATATATAATTTATATTGTATGGATTCCTAGTCATCAAAGTTCTATCTGTAAGGGTATATAAACTTCGGCGTGCCAAAGTTAGCTTTCTTTCTTGTTTTAGATATATACTTAGAAATTCATTGTACAGTGACAATAATAATACACTAATACCAACAAAGCTTGCTAGAGCTTTTAAATAAGCCTGATTCTCTAAATTCAAAGCTTAGACCTCTAACTAAAAAACACGTGAACAAAGTAAAAGTAGATCAAAACTGCAATTCGTTTTTCACTGAGCTTTTTGCTAGCTACAGGGTACGGTCTGTATGGTTGCGAAAGTTGCGAGTAAAAGAGCATGTTTGGATCTTTACTTACTTGCCTGCTGCCTGCTGCTCCACCTCCAAAAGATCTTTGAAACAGCAGTTATAACAAATTTGTATTAGGTGTTTTTTGTATGTCTGCTGCTGCAATTTGTAGTTTTTATACCCAATACGGCAACACCAAAACCGCAACTTAAGTCAAGAAGAAGAACAACATTTGTGTGACCAAAGATTTCGCTTTCATAAATCCCTGAAATGACAGTCGATAAATAATATTTATGTCCGTCAAATTAGCGTCGAAATGTAACGGTGGGAAAATGGAACACAGAGGGGACCTTTAATTTTTAATTTATTTCGTAATAAGGCCACTAATTTGAATAACATAAAGTTTCTAAATGGTAAAAAATGAATTTACTATTGTTTTTTACTGGGTTTGAAAGTATTTGACAGTTGGATATATTAAAAAAAAGCATGTGAAAAATCGTGTTTTCACGGATTTCTTAATATCTCGTAACTTCGATTTACGAACGCGTGCGCATATGCACGGTATATAGGCTTACTAGGGGAAGATTAAGGAATATTTGGTGAAAATTTCAATTCAATCGAATAACAGGGAATATTTGGGCTGATATTCAAGGCGCGAACTATGAAAATGGAACCAGCAGAGAACCACTCGCTGAACCAGAAAGAAAAATAAGAAAAATATTAAATTAAATGAAATTAGCAATTTGTTAAATAAAATATTAAGAAAAGTTACTGCCCAATAAATAGAAGAGTCATTCAAAACAATTTAGTGTGATTTTCATCTAAATTAAGGAAAATTTGTCTATTTTGTTATTTTTAGATTATTTTAGTATATACCACGGCGGCATGTTATGCCTCTCCCCGACAACCAAAATCGACCCAAACTTTTACAAAAATCTTTCTCTCTTAAATGAACGCGTGCAAACTTGCACGGTATCTCAAAAGAAAGGGAAACATATTCTCTAACTTCGAATTAAATCTTAATTCGATCTAACCGTCAGATTTTGAGAAATTCAAGTGTTTCTCTTTCCGACCTCATTCGCAAACACTGGTTTCGTAATGACCCTAACGCCATGTGCCAAGCCCCAAACCATATTCCGACGCTAACTTTTAAAAAATTATAACTCCCTTAAATGAACCCGTGCAAACTTGCACGGTATCTCAAAAGAAAGGGAAACATATTCTCTAACTTCGAATTAAATCTTAATTCGATCTAACCGTCAGATTTTGAGAAATTCAAGTGTTTCTCTTTCCGACCTCATTCGCAAACACTGGTTTCGTAATGACCCTAACGCCATGTGCCAAGCCCCATGCAAGTTTGCACGCGTTCATTTAAGGGAGTTATAATTTTTTAAAAGTTAGCGTCGGAATATAGTTTGGGGCTTGGCAAATGGCGTTAGGGTCATTACGAAACCAGTGTTTGCGAATGAGGTCGGAAAGAGAAACACTTGAATTTCTCAAAATCTGACGGTTAGATCGAATTAAGATTTAATTCGAAGTTAGAGAATATGTTTCCCTTTCTTTTGAGATACCGTGCAAGTTTGCACGGGTTCATTTAAGGGAGTTATAATTTTTTAAAAGTTAGCGTCGGAATATGGTTTGGGGCTTGGCACATGGCGTTAGGGTCATTACGAAACCAGTGTTTGCGAATGAGGTCGGAAAGAGAAACACTTGAATTTCTCAAAATCTGACGGTTAGATCGAATTAAGATTTAATTCGAAGTTAGAGAATATGTTTCCCTTTCTTTTGAGATACCGTGCAAGTTTGCACGGGTTCATTTAAGGGAGTTATAATTTTTTAAAAGTTAGCGTCGGAATATAGTTTGGGGCTTGGCAAATGGCGTTAGGGTCATTACGAAACCAGTGTTTGCGAATGAGGTCGGAAAGAGAAACACTTGAATTTCTCAAAATCTGACGGTTAGATCGAATTAAGATTTAATTCGAAGTTAGAGAATATGTTTCCCTTTCTTTTGAGATACCGTGCAAGTTTGCACGGGTTCATTTAAGGGAGTTATAATTTTTTAAAAGTTAGCGTCGGAATATAGTTTGGGGCTTGGCAAATGGCGTTAGGGTCATTACGAAACCAGTGTTTGCGAATGAGGTCGGAAAGAGAAACACTTGAATTTCTCAAAATCTGACGGTTAGATCGAATTAAGATTTAATTCGAAGTTAGAGAATATGTTTCCCTTTCTTTTGAGATACCGTGCAAGTTTGCACGCGTTCATTTAAGAGAGAAAGATTTTTGTAAAAGTTAGCGTCGATTTTGGTTGTCGGGGAGCGGCATAACATGCCGCCGTGGTATATACTAAAATAATCTAACAATAACAAAATAGATAAATTTTCCTTAATTTAGATGAAAATCACACTAAATTGTTTTGAATGGCTCTTCTATTTATTGTCAGTCACTTTTCTTAATATTTTATTCAACAAATTGCTATTTTCATTTAATTTAGTATTTTTCTTAACATGATTCCATGGTCTGGTTCAGCGAGTGGTTCTCTGATGGTTTCCATCTGGTTCCATTTTCATAGTTCGCGCCTTGGATATCAGCCCAAATACACCACCCACTGTAATTCGATTTTTTCGAAATCTGACGGTTAAAAACAATTGAAATTTTCACCAAATATTCCTTAATCTTCCCCTAGTAAGCCTATATACCGTGCATATGCGCACGCGTTCGTAAATCGAAGTTATATGCCTTACTATTTTTGATGCCCTATTTTGTATGGAGCCGACCCCGAGGTTAGGACACTGTAATGCAATTTGCTCAAAAACTGACGGTTTGAAAAAATTTAAACTTGGTACGCTAAAAGTACAATAAATGTCCTTTATTTTGGCGTATCGGGTATTGCTGCACGCGTTCGATTAGCAGAGATATTAAGAAATCCGTGAAAACACGATTTTTCACATGCTTTTTTTTAATATATCCAACTGTCGAATACTTTCAAACCCAGTATAAAACAATAGTAAATTCATTTTTTAGCATTCAGAAACTTTATTTTATTCAAATTAGTGCCTTAATTACGAAATAAATTAAAAATTAAACAACCGCTGTGTTCCATTTTCCCACCGTTCCATTTCGACGCTAACTCATCGACGCTAATTTGACGGACATAAAAATCTTACTCTCTGTTGCATTTCGGAGTTCGGAGGGGAAGAGGCTATCGATGTATCGATAGTGAGAGGCAGGATCGGTGGACCCAGGGGGGGGAGGAGGAAGCTGAGCGAACCGGGAACTTTGAATGCGGCTTAAGAGAAAGGTTTCTTAACCTTTCTCTCGGAAGGGCAAGAAGGAAATGCAAAAGTAACGGCGTGGAGCTGTGGAACACGGAAAAGGAACGGAGGCAATAAAAGGAGGTGCAGAAGGGAAAAAACGAGGAGTCAGGAATTGGAAAGAAAACGTGCGCGAGGTTTTTGGAGAGAAAGAAATTGACCCGTGGACTGCCTGAGAGTGCGCGCTTGGATCGTCAGTGCCACCGCCTCAGCACCGCCCTGTTCCGCCGCGTACCGGCCCGTGGACACCGCCTCCGCGCCGCCCAGTGCCGCCGCCAGAGCCCAGAGCCACGTACCGTTCCGTGGACACCGCCTCCGCGCCGCTTAGTGCCGCCGCCAGAGCCCAGAGCCACCGTAGTGTCGCGAGTGCCACCGACTCGGCACCGTCCGCGCCGCTTAGTGCCGCCGCCAGAGCCCAGAGCCACCGTAGTGTCGCGAGTGCCACCGACTCGGCACCGTCCGCGCCGCTTAGTGCCCCGCCAGAACCATCAGGAGGGCACGCGATCCCACCCAGAGCCCAGAGCCACCGTAGCGTCGCGAGTGCCACCGACTCGGCACCGCCCGTGCCGCCACTTCAGCGCCGTCCGAGCTGAGAGCCCAGAGCCGCAGCGCCGCCGCCTTAGCACCGCCCGTGCCGCCACTTCAGCGCCGGCCGAACTGAGAGCCCAGAGCCGGAGTCGCCGCCGCAGAAGGACGAAGCGCCGCACGCTCCGACGCCGAAGCCGCCAAGGGCTAATCCGGTTAGGATAGGGTATTTCGTATTTTGTGTCTTTTGTTTGTAAGGTTATCTTTGTTCTCCGCTTGGCCGTATCCCGGGTCCGGGATTGGTGCAACACAGGAGCTGTGACCAAAGGGGGAACGGGGAAGAAGGCCGGTCCTTGTCTTTTCTTGAGTATATTTTGTTTTTTTGTCGTGAACCCCTGTACCCTATATTTCTATTGGAGCTCCAGCAGGGATTAGGGACTCCAAAGAGGGAATAATTGTTTTGTGGCCGTTTGAGGCCAAATGTTTAACAACAGCGCAGCCTTGGCGCAAGCGCATCCCTGGCTAGGGCCACGCTCTCGCCGGGAGTGGAGAAATACCACCTATAAAAGGGAGATATTAATATTACAAGGAATGTTTATATAGAATAAATAATGAAAATAAAAATGGAGTAGAGTAAATACCTGGGGGGAGATGGGCCGGTCGCCAGACCGCCTGGAATAGGCTCCGGTCCGCCGGAGATGGGTGATGCCCCGAGACACTCAGGAGGCATCACAGGATGGGTGGGTGCGTTGTGGCGATAACACCAATGCCACCAATTTGTTCCGGCAGTGTCGTCAGTGTATATTTGTCGTTTGTTTACTTTTGTTTTGTGTTTAGGGATGGTAGTTTTGTCAGTGACGAGAGTCCGAATTGTCCGATATTTTATTGTGCGGACTGCGGGCATTGGGTCGAACCCAGCCCTGGGCCTCCTGAGCTAGCCCGGCGTTGCCCAAGAAAGCAGTTCCGTAACATCTCTTAAATGAACGCGTGCAAACTTGCACGGTATCTCAAAAGAAAGGGAAACATATTCTCTAATTTCGAATTAAATCTTAATTCGATCTAACCGTCAGATTTTGAGAAATTCAAGTGTTTCTCTTTCGGACCTCATTCACAAACACTGGTTTCGTAATGACCCTAACGCCATGTGGCATGCCCCATACCACATTCCGACGCTAACTTTTAAAAAAATGTAACTCCCTTAAATGAACGCGTGCAAACTGGCACGGTATCTCAAAAGAAAGGGAAAAATATTTTCTAATTTCAAATTAAATCTTAATTCGATCTATCCTTCAGATTTTGAAAAATCAGCGATTTCTTTTTCCAACTCATTCATATCGATAGGGCCGCTTCCCACGCCCTATCGATGAATAGCCCGCCAGAAAATATTCCTATTAACCATTTAAGAATTGTATAAAATATGCATGCCACATGAATGGAATTGACATTCCAAGCATTTCAGTATTGTATATATTATATATTGTATATAATATATAAATGATATATTTCGATATATCGATAGGGCCGCTTTCCACGCCCTATCGATGAATAAGTCGGGAACTAAATTCCGGTAAATCCAATTTTTTAAAAAGCAAGCACGCGTTCTAAAGTAAACGCACAATATATTTTATAAAATGTAGTTAAATTATTTTAATTTGTTTTCTTTTTTAGAAAATGAATTTCTATTTTTTCGGCGGAAATCAGACTGGCGGTGGTGGCGCTGGCGGTCGACGAGGTGGAGGCGGCGGCGGTCGACGAGGTGGAGGCGGCGACATTCGACGAGGTGGAGGCGGCGACGGTCAACGAGGTGGAGGCGGTGGAGTCCCTGGACGCGGTGGCCTTAACAGGCAACAACGCCAGGCATATGCCTTTAGAATATCCCAAAGCTACTCAAGAGACGACCAACGCCGTGTTCGGCTCGGCATAATGCAGGTGCTCCGCCCTTTGCCGGAACAGGAGCCTCCATCGCAGGAGATACCGGCCGATGAAGAGCTGCAGCAGCCGGTGGAGGAGGAAGAGGGGCTAAAATAAAATAAATATTTATGATATAATAAATAATAAAAATAAAATGTCCCATTAAGTACATTTTTTGAAGTAATTCTTTGCAAAACGAAAAATCCCTCACAAGACAAACTACAAAGTTTCAATCAGATTGCTTCGGCTGTTGATGCCGATCAAGAATATATATACATAAAAGGTATTATAATACCTGCAAGGGTATAAAAAGGAAAATACCATTCTTTAAGAAGACGAAGGTTTTCCTTGCCTAAAACGTAAAGAGAAATAAAGTCGCGATGCCAACACAAGTCAGCTACTCGACGAACAAAAAGGTGAATTGCATTATAATGAAATTATAATTGAAGTTCGACTTGCCCTCGTGTCACTGACGGAAGTTGAAGCATACATTTCAGCGCAGCGGTAAAAATAATCTTCACAGCGGAAACAACTTTTAAATGTTAAAATTTCTAATTACTGATGAGCTGAGCTTCAAATAATTTTGTTTACAGAACTTCAAGTAAGAGTAACTAAACAAAGAAGTCAATGCTCATGTTTATTAATAATTAAATTGATTTTTTTAAATTCTACTCAATAAATTAACATTTATTTTTTTTTCCAAACTTCACATTTTCTCCTATAATTCCCATAGTCGTCCGATCTGGCCCCTTTCCGACATATATACGAGTGAGAGTATATAGAAGGCTAACTACAAAGTTTCATTTAGCTAGCTTTAAAAACTGAGAGACTAGTTTGCGTAGAAATGGACAGACGGACATGGCTTGATCGACTCGGCTGTTGATGCTGATCAAGAATACATATACTTTATATGGTCGGAGGTGCCTCCTTCACTGCGTTGCAAACTTCTGACGGAAATTATAATACCCTGCAAGGGTATAAAAACCGTCAAATTTTCAGGCGTTCAGGGTGGTCTACCCCTTTAAAAATAATAATAGTAAAATAGGAATATTCTGGAATTTTCTTCCATTTTGTACTACTTTAATTAAACCCTTTTTATTTGTTGGAGTCCGTTTAGTCGCTTTATTTTTCAAAAATCCCAAAATGTTATATTTATATTTATATCTGGCCTTTCCACAGGAGTGTCAATGACTTCTTTGCAAATAAACAGGAGCAAGGTCCTGCACAGCTGCGATTTAAGCTTGGGTTCGTTTTCCTGGTGCAGTTTATATTCATTTCTTTTTGGACAAGTGACGTCATTCAGGCCAAATTTCTCCGCTCTTCTGCTCAATTCAGGACTTTCCTCACAGTCTTATGGCAACCTGTTTTTCCGGAATCATTTTTTAAGTCCAAAGCCAATTATCGAAGGGTTGTTGGCGGGTTTTTATCGATCTGTATCAAAATTTTAGAATGGTCTCGTCTGGAGAGCTTTGGTGGTCTGCCTGTAGAATGGTACAGGTGGCGTCTATTTTTCTTTTCACAAACTGTATGTCCTACTACTATGTCCTGTATGTCTTCTGGCCACAATCACAAATATGTTTTTACAACTTCCTTTTACAATATATATTTAAGTAACACAAGTTTGCAGACTTTTATTTTCGTTTTCTGGAAATGCCCATGTTCAAAATGAACATTAATATTAATTAATTAATAATAATTAATTATTAATTTATAAACATTTAAGAATAGAAATTGATTTCAATTTTAAATTAAAGCATTTCATTTGTTTTCATCGTATTCTTTTTTTCAGGTTTTAAGGAATAAAAAAATTTAAAAATGATTGGAAAAAGGCAAATGCGTAGGTTAGTTAAGAAAGAGCAGGATAAATTGAAAGAAAGAATAAGACTTGCAGCAGCTGCAGGAACCTCCAATTATATAGAACTAGGAGACCTAGAAGAAATATAGAATTTCAAAATGTAGAAGTAGAAGACATTTTAAATGTTGAGGAAGGAATAGATGCAGAAATGGCAGATGTTGGCCGAATTATGCCGAATTAAAAGAATGGTATTTAAAACATAAGCCTACAAGAAATTGTGCGACAGATTTAATAAATATTCTTAATCGTCACAATTTAAAAATAAAGCCATTTTATAGATTTAATTGCAGTAATAAACCTGATATTATGCAAATAAATGGGGGCTGTTATTTGCATATCGGTTTAAGCAAACAGTTAGAAAAAATTGCAGCTTTAGAAGATATACCAGAATACCTAAGTATTGATGTCAATATTGACGGACTTCCGTTATTTAATAGTTCTCGTGCCCAATTGTGGCCAATTTTAATTCGAATTAATAACATTCGAAATCTTCCTGTTCTGCCAATAGGTGTTTTCATGGGGTATAACAAACCTCTTGATAGTGATGAATTTTTAAGTAAATTTATCACCGAGTTGTCCGATATGATCCACCCATCCTGTGATGCCTCCTGAGTGTCTCGGGGCATCACCCATCTCCGGCGGACCGGAGCCTATTCCAGGCGGTCTGGCGACCGGCCCATCTCCCCCCAGATATTTACTCTACTCTGTTTTCATTCTTATTATTTATTTTATATAAACATTCCTGATAATATTACTATTTCCCTTTCTATTTGGTATACTCCACTCCCGGCGAGAGCGTGGCCCTAGCCAGGGATGCGCTTGCGCCAAGGCTGCGATGTTGGGGGACTTAAGAAGCTAGCGGAGGAGAAGCACCTTAAAACATTTGGCCTCAAACGGCCCCACGACAAATACTCCTCTTTAGGGTCCCTAATCCCTGCTGGAGCTCCAAGAGAAATCTAGGGACAGGGGTTCACGACCAAAAGAAAACAAAACAAAAGGTCAAGGAAACACCATTACCGGGCTTCTTCCCGTTCCCCCTTTGGTCACAGCTCCTGTGTTGCACCAATCCCGGACCCGGGATACGGCCAAGCGGAAAACAGAGACAACCTAACAAATACAGAGACACAAAATACGAACTAAACTATCCTAACCTAATTGAAATTTAAATTCAAATTTAACTCCGGTAGGGCCCTCCACCCGGAACGGACTCACCGGACTAGCCCTTGGCGGCTTCGGCGTCGGAGCGGGCGGCACGCTGTCCTGGCGACTCTGGGTTCTCAACTCGGACGGCGCTGAAGCGGCGGCACGGGCGGTGCTAAGGCGGGGCACTGGCGGCGGCACTGGGCAGCGCGGAGGCGGTGTCCACGGATCGGCACTGAAGCGGCGGCACTGGCGGTGCTAAGGTGGCGTGGGCGGCGGCGCTGCGGCTCCCAACTCGGACGGCGCTGAAGTGGCGGCACGGGCGGTACTAAGGCGGCACGCTGCGGCTCTGGGCTCTCAGCTCGGGCGGCGGCACTGGGCAGCGTGGAGGCGGTGTCCACGGATCGGCACTGAAGCGGCGGCACTGGGCAGCGTGGAGGCGGTGTCCACGGATCGGCACTGAAGCGGCGGCACTGGGCAGCGCGGAGGCGGTGTCCACGGATCGGCACGCGCGCACTCTCAGGCAGTCAACGGTTAAGATCTTTTGTCCTTTTCGAAAAATAACCTCGCGCCACGTTTCTTTCCAAATTTCGACTCCCGTTTTTTTTCTCCTGCACCTCCCTTTATTGCCTCCGTTCCCAAAGCTCCACGCCGTTACCTTTTTTTCTTTCCTCCTTGCCCTTCCGAGAGAAAGGGTAAAAACCTTTCTCTTAAGCCTGCTTTGAAAGTTCCCGGTTCGCTCAGCTTCCTCCTCCCCCCTGGGACCACCGATCCTGCCTCTCTCTATCGATACATCGATAGCCTCTTCCCCTCCGAACTCCGAAATGCAACAATACATATTATATTTACAGTTTTACATTCACAGATTTACATTTTCCTCAATACCTAATAATTATTTGTTTATTATTATTAATATTATTATATTTATTTATTATGACTCCTTCATAGCGTTGCAAGCTTCTGACTGAAATAATAATACTCTTCAAGGATGTAACATTTTAAAGGAAAATTAATTTTAAAATTTTATTGTATAAATTAAATAAG